AGCAGCTTTGTAAGCTTTGGCTGTGTTGTTATTTTCATTAGTTTTCAAGTGCTGAGTTTGTTTTGCTTAGTAGGCCTGTGATTTTTTAAAGGATTGTTTGTTCTTGGGATTGATGTTTGAGAGCACTTTGTGCCATTTCCATGGGTCGTGAAGGTACCAGGAATTTTTAGTGTTCTGATGAACCCTGTGGTCATCACCATCCTCAGGCGCCTGACACACAACTGAGCAGGCTGGCTTCTTGCAGACATACAGACCTTCACAGCTGTAGAGGATGGCATGGATTGACCACTTTAAGGCAGTTTTGGATGCTGTTGGGACAACAGCCTGTGTCTGCCTTACCCCAACAGGATTGCCCAGAGTGTTTTCCATTTATGTACAAGACTGTCCACAGATAGGTTGGCTTGTGGCATCAGCAGGGCAGTGAGAGGTATTGTTGGCCCTAAAATCTGTACCATGTCAACTTCCCATATTGCTTTAAGGAAAAAAATCAACAATACAAAACTTCCTGAACACATTTATTCTTGAAAACATGTGACACAGAATAGATAAATTGTGTTTGAAAAACAGGTTTCTTTTTTGCATGAATGGTTGGGGATTATGAAAATATCAGCCCAGGTTAGGCAAATGTTTGTCCTCTCTCTTTTAGGAAAGGGAAAGCTGTGAGAGGTTTTCAGAGTTGTTGAGCTCAGATGGGAGAGCTGCTGGAGACTCTCACTGTCCCTCCTCTGGCTTCTGAAGGGGCATTAGAGGATGATCTGCAGTACCAGGGCTCACCCAGGTAAGCTTTGTGTCCCTTATTCTTTACTGAAGCTTCATTCTTATTGAAAGCCTACCGCAAACAACCACTGCTGGCTGAAGTGTGATGCCAAGGGAAGTACCTTTTGAGGACAAAATTCCTTTTCTACTGTTCCATTGCATGCAAACATATGCAACAGAGAGGGAAGGTGTGTCTAACACAGCATGACTGTGTCTCATACTCCGTGTTCATGGGACAATGTAATTACCAGCAGCTAAAGCTTGAAGCTTTTGTCACTGAGTAATTAAATATACAGTGTCTAATGATACCACTATCAAAGACGTTAAGCCATGTAGTTTTATTGGTCCGTATAAAGTCAGATTAAGTTAATGACTTATCAACTATACTCTCTGTTTTCTCAGACAGAGAGGTAGGATTATCAGTTGTTTAAATAAAATTCCTGTTTGACTAAGGGACATAGAATCTGGCCTACAACATGAAAGATTACATATACTTAGTGTCCATACCTGCCCTTCCCTGGTATGCAAAGAAAAGGAAAATGTTTGCCCTCAGGGTTTCCTGTGCCAGTACACAGATGGAGGAAATTAATGCTTGTGGTGGCTAGCAGAGTTCAATGTGGATGAAGGCTAAACCAAGTTCTCAGTGAGTAGATTTTGATTCACTTCTATAGTCTCAGAACTAGACCAGAAGTGACTTTCAGTTAAATCAGGAGTAATTCTGGGCAAAGCCTGCCTACTTCCATAAGAAAAAAATTAGTTGAAACCTTGCACTGAAGAGAGAGAGAAAGGAGCAATTATGGTTAAACACTTGTCAGAGCAATTCTAGTGAATATGTGCTATTTCTAACCATGATAGGAGGTCAGCTTCATCTTATTTTTTCCTAATACACTGACACACACTAAGCATGCTGGCTTCTGACTGAAATCAGCCAGGCTGCTTGTGAACTAACCTAAAGCTATCTGAATCTGATCCAGACTCATGGCAAAACTGGGTATGACTAGCTGCAAGCAAGCAGAATCAGTGTTTGCTTCCCTGTGTTAGGACGTTACTGAGATATGAATGAAATACATACCCACCCCATAAATCTGGTACTGGCTTTTTGAACTGTTGTTGTCCAATACAAAGTTTGAGCTCATATATAAGGGTGAGGTAGGGTGATAAAGGTTGGTGAAAACCAGATTCCACTTGAACTGTGTGGCTATAAATAGCAAAAAAAGAAAAGTAAAAATAGTTTGCACTGATGCTATACTTTGAAATGAGCCTTGTAAGAATGACATTGCAAGGGCCAATGCACTTCACTATTTCTGTATCCTTGATGACTTAAAGATCCTAGTTTTACAGAGAAGATAAAAACTAAATGTTCCAAATTTCAGTTCTGTAAATTTAGCTTTGTCCATAAGAGTTAGGGTGAGTTATTCCTAGCTCTGACAATGCCAAGAATAAAAACAGCAGGTCGCTTACCTCTTCTGGAGTATCTGTCTAACTCCCTTGAAACCAGTGGAAATAGCAAGATATCTACCATTTATAGATTCAGCATTACCATATAGAATTTGCTGTGGTGCAGATGTGGAGAGGCAGGGAATGCTGCTTTTCCCATCCCTGTTGTGGTTGTGCAGGATCAGTAGAATTAAAGCAACAAAATGGTTTTTACTAAAATAGAGGACTGAATCCACAGAGGAAACCGGCCTATTGATTGGTGGACTGAGCCCTAGCTTATTTTCAGGCATTAAAGTAAACAGTGCTTTTCATAGATTATTCACTCCAAGTCATTTTGTCACTTGAGACACTTAGCATCCTGCCTGCCTCACTACATCTCCACTGGCTTGTGTACTTATTCTTACAGAAATGCCAAGAAAACTGTTTCCTAATCAATTTTGTTGCAAAGGAAGGACAGGCTCCTGCAGGGCAGGAGGATGGAACTGAAAATAAACAAAATGCTAAGTTTATATTTCAAGACCTACGTATGGTCTGCATTTACATGTGCTTTGGCCTGACAACACAGGCTGGCACCAGCATTTTCTACTCTTTCCTGTTGCTGCTGCAGGATGCACCTTGAAGTGCACTAAGAGCAGCCCATGGATGACTTCTCCCCACTCTGCATGGTTTCAAGGGGAGGCTGAGGACTTGCAGCTGTGGAGAGCTGTAGAGAGAGCATGCAGAGAGAGCAGCCTGTCCAGGTATTTGCTCCCATTTCAAGTCCCACCCTTCTCCCTCTCCCTTCTTGACCTGCTTCATGGGATGATGCAGAAAGGGAAGAGGACATAGTAGACCCAGGGCTTTATTTCATTGCTAGGTGCTCTGAAAGGATAGAAAAAGACTGAAGTGTGTGTGTATAAAGTCCAATGGTGCTTATGCGTGCACCAACGAGACTGAGGCAGCATTTCTGTGGTTATCACTTACCCCCTTCCCCAGCAGCACATTCACTGGAAGGCCAGACAAAATCTGTCCCATCAGTAGTTAACTTAGCATTATGGTTGGTGGAAATGCCTGAAATAATACTCGGGGTACATGAAGGTGTTGGTCTGGTGATGATGTTGCTGTGCACCTCTAGCACCAGTCTCAAGGGTGTATATTGCTGTGTCGCTAGGGAGTCTGGAGGTGAGAGTTCAAGGTGGGACACCAGAGCAAAGAGGCAACTTAAACCGTCTGCAGGGCTCCATGTTCTCTGCTTACTGTGTTTGCTCAGGGGTACCATGGCTTGAGCTCCCTGTGATTGGTGTTAGGAAACGTATTCAGGGCTAGGCACGGTGCCAGCTGCTTGCTTTAGAAGAAAGGGAAAAAGCTTCTGGGGCTGATGCATCTCTCACTTGCAGACACCAGCAGAAAAAAAATCCACTGATGTGAGTGGGATTATATTGGAGCAAAGCTACTATTTAGTGGACCTTTTGATGAGCAAATGAATGGCGGTGGTCATCCTAATTGTCCCCCTGTACCCGTAAGGAACAGTGGTGTAAGGACAGAGGGAAATCTGGCTGCACCCTCTTTATCAAAGGAAAGCTATTTGGATGGTGTTGGTGCCCTGTCACTGGTTGTGGGCCACTCTCCTGGACTGGGAAGCCAAGAAGAGTATCCTGGAATGATATAGCTGCCCTGGCCCTATCAGAGATGTGCCTAGTCCAGTGCTAAGGGAGGAAACACTATTTTTGCCAAACGTCTGATCTACTGTCCTGGTTAATCCATGCCTAAAATCCCTTGGAAAGGAAACCCTTGATTCATGCATGTGGGCTAATCATTTGGGATCCAGTTACTTTTTCACTCAAACCAATAGTAATTTGGCTATTCCTATCCATAGAAGAAGGGTCATGCTGTTGTATTGTATGTCAGTTGAAATAAAAATGATGTGTAACTATATATCCGGCAGAGCTTAAAGCAATAATTAAGAATTACTGACAATTAGCAATCTAATAGACAAACAATCATTTGCAATTTGTTATGGGGAAACAAGACAATTTCCCTCTTTGTTGTTAACTGTACTATGCTGGTTCCCACTGGGTCTGCTTAGGGGACTGTTCATGTTGCTCATTTAACTGGCTTTTGTATAAAATTAAGGTACTTTATAGAGTGCTTCTGCAGAATGAAGAGGACACTTAACTGGATAAAAACTTGCCATCAGAAGATTTGGCTGCTTCCTATTCCATTCCAGTGCTTGTGAAAATCTCTTCTTCCAGATTAGCAGCATATTGCTTCAGCTCTAGTACCCCAGGGGGGAAAGCTGTAAAGCTGAATGACCACCATACCTATCTTCTAGCTATTTCTCACAAGAAATGCCATTTCACCTGCAGATGTGCATGATTCTGTCTCTTCCTTCTTCATCTGAAACACAACTTCCCTTAGCCTTGCTCTCTTGGTACCAAGCACAGACCCAAAGTTGGTGGTTGTTTCACTTTTGATCAGTCATAAGGAAGAACCTGGAACACTCTGTGGCCAGAATATCAAGTTGGGTGTCCTTCACTGCTTCTAGTCGTTTGCAATGCAAATGGTAGGCTTTGTCTCACGTAATGCCATATCCATGGTAACCAAATGAAGACAAGTTTGCATTACTTCCTTAGCAAAGTGTAATCCTTCCCTTGGTATATGTGCCAAAGAGGCATACAGCGTTAAAGGGACAGCAATATATTTCTTGGGAATGGAAGCAACCAAAGAAACTTCTGCTTTCTTTCCCTAATTCACATTGAGTTATCGCTGCCTGTAATCCTTTACCCTCTCTTTCTCGTTTATTTCTAGAGTTCCTGTTCTTAAATCTAGACCTGTCTGTGCTTCTGCTTTGAGGCTAGCAATCGATCATCTGTCTGAACTGTCAACTTAAGCACCACTTCTTGGCAAACAGCCTTTCCTTGCCCTTCCTGGTATCTTTAAAGAAAAACGACAACAACTAATAGGAGTACAAAGCTAAGCCAAGAACAACAGCTCTTGTCCTTCAGTTTTGCAGACTTTGAGTCGGTGGCAGCGCAGAGGCGCAGATGCACCAGCCTTCAACTATTCCATTATATTAGCAGCTGGATTGAGCCATACAGGTTGGAGCTTATCAATTTTTTCATTGTAGTGGTCAAAATTTTAGAAAGCTTTTTTTTTTCTTTTTTTCTTTTCTATTCTGAGCTGTAAGATATGAGGTGGGAAATATTTATGTATTTATTTATTTATAATTTCTGGGTTGAATTCCAGTTAAAAGAGCTTTTATGTATTTCATAGCTTCTTTTGACCAGCCAGGGTATGTTTTGGGATCAGACTCAAACTGCATGTACTGCACTTATTGTTGTTGTTTCTGTTTTCACTGTTGTTCTGTTGCCTTGTGCACCAAATTTATGCATTTTTCTATTATGTATCTTGAAGGCTTAAACCACAACTCTTTCTCTCCTTCTTCAGCACAATCTTATGCAGTTTCAAATGGAATCATCTTTAGCTACTGTTATTTACTGTTATCTGTAATGTTTCTTCTCAGTTAAGAGTGAGTTAAATGCAGCACGATAACTTCACCTTCCAATGGGGTTATTCACAATGAGCAACACTGATTTTCTCAACCAGCCCCAGGACTTCTACTTTGAAAAGAGCAGAACAAGTTGATATTGTAGCTTCTGAGCAGGAATTTTACCAAAGACTTCACACAGACAGAACCCTACACAAATTTATATTTACCAACATATGAGAAGGCTTGAAGTGTTATTACAGCTTTCACTACCTGGAACACTTCCAGGAAGGCTTCACTCCCTTGTGAGTTTTCACATGGATGTTGCAGGGGTGCTTTGAATATCAAACTGAGTGTCCTTCCTTTCTTTCAATGCAAACAAATGGTAGGCATGCTGCGACAAAATAAACTAATACCTTCCTACAGTAGCTGCAATTTCAGTGTGGTTAACAACTACCACTTTGATAGGTAGGGAAAGGTGGCCTCAACTTCATTTAGCTGTCCAAAGTCAAGTCCTAATTTTAAAGACTGAAAAGGCTTTTGTCATCTTCTTTTGTTTCTGAGTAAGACAGTAAAAGCAGGAGTCCTCAGTGTTCAAGCAGTAGTTTGTTGTTGTAAATGGCAACTGAAAAGAATGAATATTACACACCAGAAATTATGATTACTCCTGCCTGAGGGCACCGTGCTAGGTGTATCTTTCTTCTCATTTACTGGAGTAGAGATGGGTAGATGGGTACTGTGAGCTTTCTCACTGATGGAGCTGCCATAAAAAGCATAGCTTTTATGCAGAATGCAGAACACAGCTACATCACATAAATGACTCCACAGTAATAGTATGAAGAATCTTTGCTGTATTCCTGCCATTTTTTTCTCTTTTTTAATGATTACCTAAATGTAGCGATTGATTCAGAAACTATATAAGAATTCATAGAGTTGATAATGGAAAAACTTCTCATCCTAGCTATGAGATCTGAAAAAAACAGGTTTTTTTCTCCTGTTTATTCCATGTGTCATAAGCATACTTAGTGTTCTGCTGTCATGCTAAACAGACCAGTCACCGTAAATACGCTTAGTTACTTTTCTGGATGGATATGGAATATCTTGGGAACATAAAGGCTTTCCTAACTCCAAGTATCTCAGACTTGCTGCTAGCTCCTAATTCATGTCTGTACAATTGCAAGTTTAGTTGTATAGTTCTCAATATTAAAGTTAACTGTAGGCTGTCTACTCAAGTATTGATGCACCTGGATATGGATATGGAGATGTTTGCATTCATAAATGTCTAAAGAAAGTGGATAAATATTAACCAAGTGTGACTGGGTAATCACTTGACAAATGGAAAGGGAAGAGTGATATTAACAGCACTATCCAGCAGGTATCATACAGTGTGAGGAATATCATGTAAAGCTGATGAAGTTCAAGATCCTGTTTCAGTGAAACAAACACACTTTACTGTAGTTGGTGGCAAGGAGAATTGTTTCGTTAAATGCTGGCAACTGAAGTGAGACAAATCTATCTGGGAACCTGCCATGAACTGTTCATGTGTTGATCAGGTTTTATAAACTTATTTCTTGCATTCTGTAGTAAAGAGCTGGTACAGATTTCTTGCTGGTGCAGGGTCCTCAGTTCTACCTCAGAACCTCCTTTGAGGAGAGGGGGGAAAGGGAAAGACTTAAATAATTATTAAAAAAAAAAATATTTCCAAGATGTTCTCAGTGTGTTATCAAATGAACAAAACACACAGAACATGGAAACCAGCCAGTCATTCATTCCATCGACAGATTTGCAGAGCTAAATTTGCTTCTGGAGAGCAGTTAGAAATTAAAACACACAGATGATGAGTGGTGCTGGCACCCAAACTGTGATCAAGAGGACACTCTTGCCTGAAAAGATGTACCCTATCAGATTAATCATTATGTGTTAATTAATTTGAAATCAAAAGGATGTCTTCTGCTGTCTACGCACAGGAAATTAATAGTGATAGCACTAATTAAATGTAATGGAAGTTACCTCTGTACTTCCCACATCTGGGGCCAAACTTTACTGCCCTTCATGTTCTGTCATTTACAGTTTAGTCCCATTGTAGCATCTTACCTTCATTGTGTCCTCCTGTAAATGGCTGTGCAAAGGAGAATCAGGTGGGTGGATTACTCAATGAGGAAACTAGCTCTAAACTTTGACTTCTAACCCTGAGATGGTGTGTCATTGCATCTCCTCCACTGTAAGTCATCCAAACATGATAAAATGGTCCTTCTGCCTCACTCTCTTCCTTTATTCCCCCCAAATACTACTGTTCTTTCTTTGACCTCCTTCTGTTGCACAGGCATTTCTCCTGGCAACTTCTCTGACAGGTGGGAGGCTCCGTTTCCTTGCAGTTTTTCTCTTTGACCAAATGCAGCAGCAGATATTTTCTTACCATTATAGTGTAATTGCAATGCTCCTACTGGAAGGACTTTGAGAGGCCAAAGAAAGTAGTTAAGACTGGATTCTCTCTGCCCAAGCACTTGGAAAAACAGTTCTTGCTGCATATCCCATACTCTGCACAAAGAATGTTGTTAGCCCATTCTTTCAGTCTTTACAAGCCCTCACCTTAGTAAAGGAAATTACTAGAGCCTTTTCCCAGTATTTATCATGCATTCCAGGGTCCACCAAAAAAGAAACAGCACAATAGGGTGGTTAATCGTTATGAATTTATTGGCAACACTTTACATTACATCTCTGCTTTCAGTTTTAGAAGACTCTATAGAGGAAAATATTAATCACTGGTTGAATTACTGTGTTTTTTAAGTTTGAGTCACATTATTATTTGTTGCCTGATTTCTCCAAATAAGAAATAGAATTTCTGTAATAATAAAATGTCCAGTAGGGAAATTGTGACCCCTGCTCTGGACGATTTCAACCAAAAGATTAGCTTTTTCTTTCGCTCTTTCACAAGTCTTCAGTCTGAAACAATATGTCTTATTTATGACCTAGTGCCTCGTGAGAAATGTATCTCAGTGCTCTGTTCATTTCCAGAGTATTCTTTGAAGGAAAGCATTTCCCATCATGTTTCTGGATAGCTTTCTGATCAAGCTATTTGCTATACCATGGGAATTTTGCAGTGCTGTGTGTCCCAGGGGAGACATACCCTGCTGCATGAATATAATTTATGGCGCAAACTGATTACACAAAGCTACCACGCCTTGAGGCAATGTGCTACTATAGGAAAATACAGTTTAACCTTGAACTTACTTAAATTTGGAGGAGTTTTGTTCACCAAAATTCTGATATTTTTAAACTTTCTGTCCTTCTTCAGGATAGAAATGAAGTCTGAAAGACTGGTATTTCCAATAAACTTTTAGGTATGACTTCATGCACTCACTGCATAAGCAAGCGCAGCTGAAGTGTATTTAAGTTAGATGCAGTGTTTTGCCAGAGAAGAAAAAAGAAAATAGAATGATGTTTGAAAGTAAGATGAGAAGCAAAACAAGTAATGGTAATTGTCTGCATCAGTCATATCAGCATTTTCCAGTAGCAGAATAAGGCCAAGTCAGCCAAACTCATGCATTGCAGGACTGGTGTCATGAATAATTACCATGTCACCATGTGCAGACACAGTATTATACAGATAAGATGCCTCTTGCGTGATGCACTGAAAAGGTTTTTGCTTCCATTTTTCTCACTCCTGCCCCAGACATGCTGATTTAATTAGATTCTTGGTAAAAATTAAGTTCAATAGTGACAGACTTACGCAGAATGCAAAAATTTCATCGGCTTTGTTTCAAGAATTAACTCAAGATTTGAATCTCTTAACAGAGGACAATGTATGTTGAGGAGAAAGTAGGTGATGTTCACAGGCAGGAAAGAAGGTTGAGCCTATAGGTCTGTTTATCTACCAGTCATCCCACCCAGCTCATCCATGCCTTAAATGCCCCATCAAACTGTCTCTCTAACCTCATCCCTTCTCAGGAAAGAGTAGCAGTTCTCTTGGGGCCATTAATTTCTTTGCTTTTTTTAATGGTTTTTGTTTTACAGTCTATCTATAGGTAAGGATAAGCTGCAAGGCCAAGAGTAGGCAGGTAGGAGAGAATGCCATTTATAATTTCCAATAAAGACTCTTAACTGTAAATGTCAAACACCACAGTTCTCAGGAGGGGGGCTATTGGGAAAATGTAGTACCCATGGATAAGCAGTGTATTTTTTCCTCCATTTGGTGTCATAGCAAGAAAATTCTCCCATGAGATCTTCAGTAGGAAAGACTTAAGCTCACCTCCACTGGCATGATTTGATTTTCTTCTGCTGAAGGAGTGAAGGTCTCTAGGATGGGTTTGCACAGTGGTCTGGAAGTTATGGTACAAGAGTTTCAAGTGACTGCAATTCTGCCTGACCTGAATGCAGAACTCTTGCTTGTTCTCATCTGCTTTTCTGATTTGGTGAATGTAGTGAATTCAACATTTTTTTCAGGAAAGGATACAGAAGACCAAATCACCTCCTGAAAATTTCCACATTTTTAGTGCTTTTGGAAGCCCGAAATATTATTTTCAGTGCTTCCATATCCAGGTTTTTTGTTTATTGGGTTCTCAAGTAGAAGATGCAGTTCAACAATATGTGATTTAATCTCATTTCTTGTTAATCAGAGATTACTGAGGCTAAAATGCCTTATCTTCCCTCAAGTATCAGAGGCCATGTTTTGCTTATCAAAATATATTATTCATAAGCAAAGATATACTTAGATGTGCAGTAAACAGAGCACCAATTAGCACCACAGTTGGTTTACAAAGTATTTTCTGTTTGTTTGTTTGTTTTCATAAGGTTTTCTGACAGATTTCTAAAGGGCATTATTTCCCCCAAAGTATCTTCCAGTTTGGTAATGAGATTCAGTGTTTCTTGTGTCAGGAACAAAATACTTACACAGATCAGGAAATGTAAATACCGTACCCTCCCCATTACTATTTCTGTGACCTCTTAAATATGGAGAAAACAAACTCTAATATTTCAAAATGTCAAGCTCTATCCTCATTAGGAACTTCTTATGAGAGTCTTCTCATTAAAGAAAGTGGAGACTCTACCCATGACTGAAAAGGTCCATGCTACACAACCTAGAGGGGCAAAGTTTGTCCTAGTCACAAGGGCTCCTAAGCAGCTCACTACCACTTAACAGGTTAGATGGCTTAGCCTTGGTAACAGTACATTGGCATGTTCTTGACCCACAGCAGTACAGGACAATTCAACTTAGTTTAGCCTGCAAATGGTAGTTAAGGTTTCACACCTTGTCTTTGCCTGGTTTGAGAGTACAGCCGCACCAGCTACTGCCTCTTACTCAACTTACTGTATCCTATCAAATACTGCATGTTTGACTTTTTGCTGACCTGCTACTTCCTAAACCTCCTGAAAAAAAACAGGTTTCTCATCATTAAATTATTTACTTAACACCCTGGCCAGTGTTTTACAGTACTAGGAGTTTTATTTGGCAACCCTTTTTTTTGTTCACTCCTGACAATATGAGGTATTGAGAAAATCACAGCAGCAGCCAGTTTGTGGTATAATGTTCCGTTACAGAGAGGAGTGCCTACGTGCTACTAGGGAAAAATTGTATTAACTCTCACTTTCAGATCTTAGTTTTTACATTCTCTTGCATTTTTATGGTGAATCTACATCTTCTGTTGGCACATGAGTAGGAAATAGTATACAAGAAGTAGCTGATTCTTATTCAAATTATGCTCAGTTTGCTGCTAGAAAGTCTCATTTATGTTACCATGGCAAATTACAGGATGTCAGTAACCTTTATGTTCTCAATTTGAATGGATATCCTTGCACTGAGTAAGCCAGAAGGAACTTATGTTAGAATTTATGAGCGGAAGAATAATCCAGCAGAGAACATGAAAGGATGTTTTCTCCTTCTTTATTGACACGATTTTGTTAAATGGAAAAGAAAATTTTAAAAGCTAGAAAATAAAAATATATTAATCTTGTGGAATGCAGAATCATAGACTCATAGAATAGTTAGGGTTGGAAAGGACCTTCAGATCACCCAGTTCCAACCCCCCTGCCATGGGCAGGGACACCTCACACTAAACCATATCACCCAAGGCTTCTTCCAAGCTAGACTTGAACACTGCCAGGGATGGAGCATTCATAACCTCCCTGGGCAACCCATTCCAGTGCCTCACCGCTCTAACAGGAAAGAATTTCCTCCTTATATCCAATCTAAACTTCCCCTGTTTAAGTTTTAACCCGTTACCCCTTGTCCTGTCACTACAGTCCCTAATGAATAGTCCATCCCCAGCAACCCTATAGCCCCCTTTCAGATACTGGAAGAACGTCTACTGCTGCTTGCTAGGCTAATGTTACCCCAACTTTCAGAAGGTCAATAAGTGTGTTATTGTGGTGTTAAGAGGGAAGTGACAACTACAGGCACTGTATATTTGCATCTTATTTATGCCCATTTCATCATCGTAAATATAGCACACTTGGAGTCCATTAAACAATGTTATTAGTTCTTGGGCAAATATTTTCTCCTTCAGAAACTCTAAGCGTCCTGCAACTGTTTCCCTCCTCTCAAACACATTTAGAGCGTGATGCATAGGGATGCTGGGGAGGGACTCTTCATTAGGGACTGTAGTGATAGGACAAGGGGTAATGGGTTAAAACTTAAACAGGGGAAGTTTAGGTTGGATATAAGGAGGAAGTTCTTTCCTGTTACGGTGGTGAGGCACTGGACTATGTTGCCCAGGGAGGTTATGAATGCTCCACCCCTGGCGGTGTTCAAGACCAGGTTGGACAAGGCCTTGGGTGATATGGTTTAGTGTGAGGTGTCCCTGCCCATGGGAAGGGGGTTGGAACTTGATGATCTTGAGGTCCTTTCCAACCCTAACTATTCTATGATTCTATGCACAGCCTAGAGAAATCAATATTCCCGAATACTCAAAAAATTTCAGTGGATTAGACTTGAAAAACTGTTATACACAAAAGAAGTTGTACCAGTTCTGCTGGAATGAGTATTTAAAACAGTGTATTTTAATTGCTGGGAGAGGGCGGTTACTAGAAAAGCAGAAATTAATTTTTTTCACCATATCTGCTCTATGTATATCTTCAATGTCTCTGCAGCAGCTACCAAAACTCAATTGATACTACTTACTTTTAAATAGAAGGGGTTTGGAGTGTACTGCTACTGGTTTATGAAATGTAGAGACACCTATCTTCACCTTCTTATTGACATGTGTTGCATTTACCTATGACTAACGTAGACTCTGCGTTGAGCTTCCCACAACGACATTGTTCTGCAACTTGGGCACTTGGGTTAAAATGTTTCCTTATATAATGGAATCAGTCTTTTGGTCTTTTCTCTAGTTTGATGCATTGTTGTTTTGATGGGAAGAAAAGGTAAGAAAATAAATTATTTTAATTTCTTCGCATTTGCAGATTCCCTGTCGGTACCAGAAATGGTACAAATAACGGTGCAAAGCTACAGGAGGTAGGTGTCAGACACCAGATAGCTCTGTTATAAATTATTTGTGCTTCCTTTTCCTTTTGACAAAAGAATGAATTTTAGTTTCTTTATTTTTTTTTTTCCTCCCCCAAATTGATAGCTACAGTGTAGATTCAAATGTCTGCATATACCTCCCGGCCTGTTTAAGAAGTGAGCTGATGGATAAGCTGCAATGGTAAAAATATCAATGCAATGCACTGTATATAAACATTTGCTGCTGACCTTGATAGGTATGTGTAGGTAAAGTTAAGCTTGGGTATAACAAAACCATGTTGTTTTACATATCAAGAAAGACTCCCATGCTGCAGGAAATTTCTTTAGCAGTGAGAAGGTTCTGAAAAGCAGTTATTTATCTGCAGATTAGTGGATACATACACAATGAGAAGCAAAGCACAGAATTGTTCTCAGGTGCCACTCCTGTTGCTGCAAATCATTGTGCCTTGTCTCTCCAAAACTTTGTTAAGAGCAATTATATCTTTTGAAGTAGGTGGCTAGAGAAACCATGCTCCCTAAAGGTTCCTCAAAGATTTACCATCTGTCAAAAGTGAGCCATTCTGCCACCTTTATAATTAGCATTTACTGGTACCTCACACCTACATTCTCACACCTACTGTAACATACTGTTCTTGAGAATAAGTGTATTGCCATGCTCTCATGCCGACTCTCCTTCTAAGGCATCGCTATTATGTATTATTATAAACCAAGAGAAAATGCAAATGTTTACTCTAGGAAAAAATCATAATGACATCCCAGAGGAACACATGAGTAAACACATTTCATTGTTGTTTTTTTCCAACCAGGTCCCTCCAAGAGTTTTCAGAAAGTCCGGTTATGTCAAGATGCAAGAGTCTCAGCTCTTCCAACTTGCTTACTGGTGCACCCCAGAGGTTAGTTATTTCCACATATTTCCAGCTAGGAATATAAGGTATTATATTATACCTTATATTATTATTATACATTATATATATAAGGTATTACACTATACCTTATATAAAAGCGTGTGTGTATATATATATATATATATATATATAGGTATATATAATATAAGCCCATCTAGGGATCAACAAATGTGAGTACAATTTTGAATACAGAGTCTAGGTTATAGTTGTAAAAGGCATATCCTCATTTATTTAAAACAAGCTCAAAATAACCTTCTTAACAGGTGGCTGGTCTCAAATGCATTTGTACCAGTAAAAAACCAAAACCTACCTGAAACTGCAGTGGGCTTTATCGGTATTGTGTCTGGAGAGAAGTGACCTTGCAGAGCTGTGAACCTACACCTTTTATTAGTGTTCTCCTTGCTAAGATACCTAGATCCAGTGCCACCAAGTTCCTCTGGGGGAGGAACGTGTATTAATCTCTTAGCAATGTGACTGAGAAATGCTACTTTCACTTAAGCAGAAGCATCCACAAGAAGAGATAAGAAGGGAAGATAATCATTTAATAAAAGTGAGACCATATGATAGACTCTGCAAGAGAAAAGTGGTACCAAAACAGTGGTGTAAATAATCCCAATGTTTTCACTGCAGCATCACTGAATGGCTGACACTCTGGGAAAAGGATCCAGTGGAGATTCTGCTTGATTTGGGCTTTGGTACAGAAGAACCTGACGTCTGCACTAAAATCCCTCCTCGGTTCCTCAGTGGTGCTTCTGTAGCAAAAGGGATCAATATCCGAGTCTTCTTGGAAGCTCAGAAGCAGCGGATGGACATTGAGAGGCCAAACCTGTATGGTAAGGGAAGACATTTTGGAAAAGCAGAATTTTTAACCATAAATAGCATGGAAACTGCTAGAGTTTTCTGAAAAAAAAAAATGTGAAAAAGGAGCATGTATTCAGGAAACATTGAGGATCCTCAGGTACCCCTCTCTAGCAATGGTACTTCCTAATACAACAGAAATATTGTGTAGCTCTCCTCAGCTGTGGGCTCTGATTTATGTGCTGAAGCTACCAGCTTGTGGCATTTTAAAGCATAACTGCCTATTCCCTGTAAAACACACCCCACCACCAGAGATTGTCACTGATGTCCCAGAGGCTGAAGAATTGAACATGAGCTCATTGCCTCAGCCACTTCACTGGGAGCACGTTAGTGTGTACCCATCATCATTTGTGGTGTAAGCCAATATAGTGGATTTTGAATTCAGCCAGGCCTTTCCCCTTGCTGGGCACAGGACCCTTCTCACAGGGAAATGCACAGAGCAGATAAGACCTTAACTTCCCATGACTAGAGCTGCCAAAGCTTGTGCATCAGACCCACAAATCTCTACATGGAACCTACAGTTTTGTGGTTCAAATATGCCCTAAGATATAGATGAGGATCATATTTTAAGTCCTATAAAATTTCACCATTTAAAACACACAGTCTTTTATTCATTTAGATGGGTTTTGTTCTCTTTTTGTGTATTTGCAGTTGAAAAATGAATACAAGGTCCTCAGCTTAAAGACATATCTGCATTAAAACAGCATAGTTATTTTGCTGGTGTATCACCAATCTGAAAAGTCCAATTTTGACATCATTTCCCCTCATGTTTGTTGCACAGTATAGCCAGATGGCTCTTGAAATCTTCTGTTTACTTAAGATGCTCAGCAAAGCAGGATCTCTCACATAGCCCATGCATTCCCATTTAGAATTACACCAAGAAAGCAATATGGATGGAATAAGAATTGAAACAGAAATGTCAGAGCATTGTGGAAAATGTGTTTTTCTCTCTTCCTCTCTTTTTTTTTATAGCAAGATCCGTGCACACATTTCAATATTTACAGCAAACTGACACATCAAACAGGTTTCTCTGCTCTCACTCTTCTTCTCTCTGCAACTCCTCTGAGACAGAGAGAGAGGGATCAGAGATAATCAGTGTGAATGGATAATGGATGGAGACCTCAGGGAAGAAGGTAGAGAACTAGAAGGGAATGAAAGCAAGAGGAAGAGCCTCTGAGGGAAGGCGTTGAAGCCAGGCAGTGGTAAGCCAAGGTGTGAATTTAATGACTCGTCCTGCAGTCATCCTCAATGGGAGCTCTCTTAGTACATGCTAATATCTTATCTGTACGGGGGAGTTGCTGTGAAGTAAGATAGGATCTGAATTTCTGTTTTGGTGGGTGTGATGTCCATCAAAACATATTATCTTGCTTTTGACAGTTTGGGAGGGGATTTTCACACCATCTGCTTAGGCCTCCAAAGTATGTGCCTGGGCTGAGAACATCAGATCCAGAGAGGTGGAACTGATCCTTCAGGAATACTTACCTCTTCTCTTTTTGCTATCTTTCCGTATATGTGGTGATTAACATAAGCCTGGTTCGTTGTACCATATTATAGCCATTTAGCTGAAGCATCATCTCAAGGGGCTTAGTCACTGTGGAGTCTATCTCTCCCCATAGCAAGTGAAGAGAGTCAGCCAACTCCTGCGGGTGATCATCCAGATACCACTTAAAACACCTCTCAGAAGAAGCCAGTCTGTCTCAGTGACCATGGAGGTAATCTTGCACAAGTACCTTCCTATAGCCGGTGTTCCAGGAGAGGACTTACAGCTAAAAAGGGATGTATCAGGAATATCCTCAAAAGGCATTTGTTTTCAGAATGTTGGGGTTTATTTCAATCTTGCCAACCTTAGTTTGTCTAATGATTTTTCAATGATGCCTAGCAAGAAGGAGTGAGTGGCAAATTCATGTTTATTAGATTTTAAAATGGATTGCATCTTAGAGTGGGACCTAATCTATCTGTCTTCAGTCCTAAAACTGCACCTGTATTTTCAGGCAGATGCCTACATTGTCTTGTAATGGCAATGAGGAGAACAGGTGCTTTTGAAGGTCTCCAGAAGATGCCTCGGAAAAAAGACCTTCAGTAGAAGGTTCAATTCTAGAGATGTCCGTTGGCATTTACCTCTCCGTGAACAAATAAGGGAACTCTAGATTCCTTACTGTTGGAGGACTTCTTCACCAGGGCATTGGAATGAAAGTGCCAAAATGAGGCAGACCATGCACCACCTGTAGAGATTCCAAGACTGCATTGAATGACTGTTCCCAGAGATGTGCTGAATGAATTCAGTTATTGTCACCCTGTTAAGTTTATTACCACTGAGCCATTTCAATGCAAATACAGTCTGAATCCCTCTCATTTGTCTCTAGCCATGGAAAACGAAGAAATTGTTTAATCTGAGTTAGTGAATACCTGAGAGGTTATCTGATTGTCTGTTTACTTTCTCCTGTTCTCTGAATCAGCAGAGAAACTTAATTGATTTGGTGCAATGTGTTATTCTGAGAAAGTGAGAAACAAGGAGAAAGATTATAGTTACAGTATGGAAGACAAGAAACCTGAAAGAAAGAAGGAGAGAGGGGTGAGAGAAACCAAGGACTTCCATAGCAGGGTGTTCCCTCTCCACTTTCATATTTAATTCATTTCCCAGTGCAGCCTTTTTCTGTTTATGTCTGGCTCTTCCCTGCAGCTGAATATAGTTTTCTAGGCCTCCTTTACTGCTGATTAGACCTTTTAAAATACATGTGGATCGTTATAGAGTTACATTGTTCCCTCACTTAGTTCTGTTTCTCCACCATTGTCAGAGAGGGTTTTTAAAAGGTTTCATTCACAAGACTAAGGTGCATTTTCAAAAACATCGATCACCCTTTCAGTTTCTCAGCCAGATCCAAAAGAAAAGTTTATCTCAATCTTTAGCCAGCTGAGAAAATGTTACTGACCTCATTAGAAGTGATATTTGACTTCTCAGCTGAGGAAGTAGCCTCTTGACAATCAGAAATGGTCTCAAGTGAAAAGTAGTTATGCTTCTGAATATATTGCTCCCCAAATTCTTTGAAAACTTCAAGTTTCTGAATGCCTTAGTTCAGAAATGTTGAAATGTTTCAATCTGACACTTAATAATATGAAACCCCACCACATTTCAGTGCCACCTGTTCTTACTGCCATATCTAAATCTATGTCGGGTTTGGTGTCTTGTTCCAGTGGATTTTTCACACTCATTTTCAAACTCATTTCTGACTCAACTGCTGCAAGCCCCTCACTGGAGCTGTAGTTCAAGTCTCACTATCCTCTGTGAGATGAGTGTACTAGGTGGACACCATTTCCCATGATACATGGTTCTGCCATGACAAGCACAGGTCACAAATATATACAGAAGCCTGTATGTCAAGAAGATACATACGTCAGCCTGTAAATACAGCCCTAGAAGAAAAATTAAATGTAAATTGCTAAATGCATTCTCTGAAGTACAGCTTCAATTCAGGCTTTGATTCAGTATTGCCAGGACTCAAGCTGAAACAGTCTAAAAAATAAAGGAAAAATATTTTAACGTATGACAAAGTAGACACTGCTGACATTTCATTTTTCCTTTTCCTGAGGAGAAAGAGCAATTCTTGATTTCCCCGCTGAAAGCTTTGGGGTTGTTTTTTTTTTCTCCAAAGTCTGCCATTTGCTGTTCAAAAAAGATCTTGATTGAAAATTTCCTGCTGGTTTTGGCAGTGTTCTACATTATTTCATTGCACTGTGGGCCTACTGAAGACTTTTCAACTCTTCCACGGATATTACTACATCAGCCTATGTAATGTTATACATTTAAGGTAGGAGGAGCAAAATGGTGAGCTTCTCTTCCTGTATTATAAAGTGGTTGATCGTAAAGTCATTAGAAGCCCTATAAAATACATAGATTCTATTGAAAATTCATTGATCATTTTTACAGCATGGCCATTTGAATTTTTGGCTGAAGTTTCTGGTGAAAATAAATCCTCATTTACGTCCTTTAGTATGTCATCTGTGCTACAGTTTTAGACTGGTCTGCAAGGATTAAAGAAATCTTACCAGCCTCTTGCCTATTTGAGAAATGATCCTTGGAGAGCACACCTAAAAACTGAAGGGACTGCTTGCCTGGAGGGAAACAGTCCACGGAGCAAGGCTGCCCCTGACATCATTTCTTTATGACCCATGTATTTATTACAGTTCACGTGAGCAATGGGATTTTTTTCTGTTGTTCATTTACTATGTCTGGTGTAGCTTGATTGGTTCTTTAGGTGTCCCAAGCTCTTTGAAATGACTCACAAAAGCTAAACAGTGTGTAAAAACTATTTCAAATTGCAGCAAGTCTGGTTCTGGTTCAAGCCCAAAGAAGGACTGGACTGCTGTGCCACCGTCAGTCAAATGAGATTAGCATTTTGCATTTTTATGGCCTGATGTAGTGGGAACCAGATGAAATACTGAGGATAAAATGTGCTTTACACAGAAAGCATATGGTAGCAACATGAATGTACAAAACCCAAAATTGCTTAGTCTGATGCCCCAAATTTATGCAAATGGAAACTACACAGCACTGTGTGTATCTCCTTTAAGCCATATCAGGTGAGACCTTTGCCTGTATATCTTAAAAAGCAGCCATATTTTCCTTCAGTGTTACAAATCAGGCAATGTCTGGGACAGAGACAAAAAGGAATATTCCTGAGATATAGTAGCTATCAGGAGATATATGTCACAGTATTGGTCCCCAAAGCAAAGCACCAGCTCAGATCCATGTTAAATATCCCCTTGTTGTCTAATTGTCAGTGAAGCAGCATTAGCAACAGCCTGCATGCAGACTGCATGCAGTAAATTTGGCTGCTCTCTAAGAGAAATGGCAGCCAAGAAAGTTAGCTTTTGCCATCTACTGTCCTCAATGAATCGCTCAAGGAAGGAGGAGTCCTGGTGACATGGTCATTGCCTCAGGACAGGTACAAAAACAACATGCAAGCAAATGCATTGTGTTTCTTTGTATAAATAACTTCATAATGTTGTAGTGATGGAAATCTCTGCATCCCTTAGAGAAAAAAAGATTTTCTTCTCTTTAGATGTTATGCCATTTTAAAAAATGACCCTGAAATTACAGGAGGGTGGTACAGTGAAAAGAATCTGGGAACCTTTATTCAACATTGGCTATGAGTTTCTGGGGGATAAGGGTTTTGCTTTGCGCTGTTGTGAAATCAGGAACACAGCTTCTGCGGTCAATTTTTGTCAGTTAATGCCTATATGCATTTTGCAGTTATCCTGGACAGGTGCCAGCTGTAAACATTGGAGATCAGATTTTAATAACTTTATTCACATGAATTTTAATAAGTCCTCAAAAACCAGCATCCAAGTCTGGCCCAGCCAAGCGGAGAATTTCAGGCTGGATTCTGTAACCTTTATTCACACAAAACAGCATTCAGCTGCACTTGACCCAACAAATTCAATGTTGTGTGTTTGCCTAATAAAAAGAACTATGCAGTGACGTCTGTATGTAGCCTGAATGGATCCTCTGGAAGCAAATGGAAAAATTTAGGCACTTTTGAATGAGATACTTGTTATGTTTCTTGGCAATGACAAGTTTGATAATCATTGTACCTGATTATTTCAAATTACACCTTTAAATAACCATGTTGCCTTCCATTCTGCCAAACTTAAGAACGTTTTCGACAGCTGGAAGTACTTGACCATGTAACGAGTGCACTCTCATCGCTGCTGACCGGCATCAATACCCAGCAGACCAATCTCCTGGATACTACGAGGAGCAGACCTGTGGTGACACAAGCAAAACGGAGAAGAATAGGACAGCTCCTGAAAAGGGCTTCTCGGCAGACACTGCAGCTGAAACAGGGCTCACTGGCACCTGGAGAAGCCAACTTGCCCAGCAGGAAAGAGCAGCCCTGCTCTAGTGCAGATACTGCTGAGAGGGGAACAGTCCAGGCATACTCTTCTGCACATGTTACATTGAACTGTCTGACCAAGGGGCAAACTCCCAGAGACAAAGGTGCCTCAGCATATCCCACATCCCAGCGTTCACTGGCTCCATCAGGGAAAGCCTGGGCTCCATCACAGCAAGTTGCAAAACCGCTCCACCTTTCTCCTGTGTCTGAGGTACCTGCTAAAGACAGGCCAAGAAAAGAGCCACCTTTGCTTGTAGCCCACACACTTAAAAAAGTGGCCAACCTGAACTGCAAGCTGCCAGACTCATTTGAAATGGAAGAGGTGAGGTGTACTGTGCTAGCAATGTATCACTACCCATATTTACGGTGTAAGTTTGGATTCCCTTTTTGAGGACAGAAGCTAAGTTATTTTCAACAAGCACCATGAAGCAGCACTATGGGAAAGAGCAGTAGGATTTACACTGCTCATTGGGGTTTTGATTAGTTTAAATTGTCTTTGTGTTAGGAGACTGTCAAAGAAGTTGGCGCTGAAGTTACTGAGATAGGATTCATTCAACCAGTATGATAGTGTGAAGATGCCAATGTGTTTTATGTACTGCTAGGTTGGTGGGTTTTTTTTAATAGAAAGAGGTTGCAGGAACACTAATACATATGGTAAAGGATATTTTTTATAGATCCAATCATTAACCAGGTTTGGGTTTTTTTTCCCTATCTTTTTTTCACCCCCTCAGCTCATTTTCTGGTATGCTCTTTCAGAAAGTTTCGTCACAAGATTAGCCTTGATTTTCTAGCAGTGTTTGAAATACTTTATCGCTCTGTAAGCTGAGCATCTTAGAACCAGAATAACTCAGAACAGCAGCTTGTTCACATATCCAGTCTGTGAAGTCCATGATACTCAGCTCCCTGTATGTTTTAGCAGCAGTGGGCTGTCAGTGGGTGTTCAACATGAAGTAGCAGAGACCAGGATACTTGCCAGTCTCTTTCTTACTTCCAGAGTTGTTATATGAGCAGCAGTTTTTCTGGCCATATACTGCAGAAAAAGGGCAATGACAGGATACTCTCCAATCATACAGACTCCACTGGGATGCCAACAGGGATACTAATGCTTTTCCAGCCATCCTTCAAGAGCAAGGAAAAGGAAGGAGTCCAAAAACTAGGCTCTACTGTAAGAATCAAAGAAAGGAGGAGAAATGGAATGGTTGAAGATCCCCTGAAAATATGTGGAGAATGAGAGGGAGGGAGGAAAGGAGAAAAGAGAAGGGAGGAAGGAAAGGAAAGAGAGAGCAGCAAGTGACAGGAAAAGGTGGGAGGTTTAAAAAAGTTTTCAATTCCTTAAAGCTTTGGAAAAGGTCAGGTTAAGATGGCATTCTTCCTGAGGAAAGAATATTTATCTTTCCAAGTCCTTCCAAAGGTGTCTTTTGTGTTTTTCTGTGAAAGGTTTGGTGCAGCTTTCAGACTCAAGAATCAGCACGGGCCTGATTATCAGCCTCCGTGGGGAAGAGGGTGTCTTTCAGAGATGTCCAGCACAGTAAATTTATAGTCTCAGAGCAGCCCATATGTCTCTGTATAGCACTTAACATGCTGAAGACCTTACTTGGAATATTGTGAGCAGTTCTGGTGTCCTCAACATAAAAAGGACATGGAACTGTTGGAGCAAGTCCAGAGAAGGGCCACGAGGATGATCAGGGGACTGGAGCACCTCCCGTATGAAGACAGGCTGAGAAAGTTTTGGCTGTTCAGCCTGGAGAAGGGAAGGCTGCATGGAGACCTCATAGCAGCCTTCCAGTATCTGAAAGGGGGCCAGTAAGGATTCTGTGGAGGGACTCTCCATTAGGGACTCTAGTGTCAGGACAAGGGGTAACGGGTTAAAACTTCAACAGGGGAAGTTTAGATTGGGTATAAGGAGGAAATTCTTTACTGTAAGGGTGGTGAGGCACTGGAATGGGTTGCCCAGGGAGGTTGTGAATGCTCCATCCCTGGTGGTGTTCAAGGCCAAGTTGGACAGAGCCTTGGGTGACATAGTTTGTTGTGAGGTGATCTTAAGGTCCTTTCCAACCCAACTATTCTGTGGTTCTATGACTCGCAGCTCTGTGAGTAGAGGCTCACACAAATGTGATGACATTGACTGAGCAGTAAATACTGATGAACATAAATTGCCCAGTTTGATGTCCAAGACAATTTGGTGAATGCTGTATGCTCAAATTAGACAGGGTGTATATTGTTTAACTTCTGAGTGTCCTCTACCACATAGTTAAGTTAAGGCTGTAAGAACAGTATAATGACTGAAACAATCAGGCCACCTAAACTGTTAGCCTGGCAATGGCCAGTAGGAGATGTATGGGGCAAATCCTTCTCTTGTATTGTTGTAGCTTTTGACAATGAGGGGTTTAGAGATCTCTTGAGCTACACAACATGTGTGTTCATGTGTTACTTGTATCTATAAGGTTCCCTTTTCTATTAAGCATTTTTCTGAAGGAGTTTATGCAGCACCGTGACAAGATGTTCCCTTCATACTATGAAAAAGTCAAATGGGTCTTCGTTCCTAGAGCAAAAAGAAATCCCAACCTTACATGCACTCTCTGGCAAGAATTTGCTTCCATATGGTTACATTTCCTTGGGTTCCTTCTAGTAAGTAATTTTTTTTTTCCTAGGGATATTTCTTTGAGGCTGTTCAAACAAGATTGTCAGTGTATTTACATGTTGGGAACCTTCATGTATTGATGACTTTGAGCAAGGCTTGGAAAGGTTCTGAGACTAGAGTGTGGTTTATGACAAAAACAAATACTTTAAAGAGGAAGCAACCAAAAAAGAATCATCTGAAAGATTTTACATTTTCACATGGAAATGTAGAGATTTTTTTTCCTGTTTTTAGTCCTACCCCCCCTCATAATAAGGCATAATCATTACCATCATTAATAATTGTTCCTCCTCTCTTCCTTTTCAGATTCAGAGTTTCGAGGATGAAACGCTGTATGGAAATGCTCCTGCCATCGCTTTAGGTGAGTGTTAAGAAACAGACAGTTTGGCCAGTTTTGTTTTTAAAACACTGTTCCCATGTAGCTGCTTCTAAAATTTAACCAAACAATACATTTTCCCTCTGCTCCCTTGATCTCTGGCATTTGGATGTATTACTCTAGATGTGGCAGTCTAGAATAATGATGATATGACCAGATAAATCATAGGGGTGTAAAATATACTCAGCTTGTCAGGCAGACACAATGAGTGCACATGAAAAGGTACCTCACATGCACAGCTTTGAGTGTGTGGTGTCCCTGTCTGATGCTATAAGCAGAGCTTTCTACTCTTCCAAGCAATACTAAAGCTTTGCTCCTGCTTGGTGAATTAGTTGTCAGATTCAGATGACCCTTCATCTGCCAGGTCTCAGACCCCTAGGAAATGACAACCAAGAGACTGGAGATAGTGGCTCTGCAACTGCTCTGTACCCAGCTCAACCAGGACCATGCAAACAGGTAGTTGTGGTGTCAGCATGGCCTCTATCCCGTTACCTGAGTATCCAATATTACATAGACTATCACCCCATGAGCTGACATAGCACTGAATCATGTGCTAGAAAATAAGTGATTTGAGGAGTCTATGAAAGGATTAAGAGCAAAGCTGTTAGACCAGACGTTATACTGTCATTTGGGGCAATTTGAGTTTGGATCCCGAGTAGCTTTTGCTGTCAGTGGCGGCAATATTGGGGAAATGGCTGTTCAGCCTCCAGAGCAGGGAGCACTCGGCCCTGATCTCTAGAGACCCTTGTTAACCAGTGCTTAAAGCAGGACTGGCATGGGGGGGTGGAGAGGGTTATTATTATCTTTTTTAATGGTACAGAAACTTCATGTGAAAGAACTAATGGATAGCAAGAACAAGATAGAGAGCAACAAGGGTGAAAGTTTGATGAGCCTCACTTTCTGGGGACTACATTGTATTACTTTAGGGGAACCAGCACAGATAATTAAACAACCCAAGTTCATACACAGGTATCTAAAAAACCAACTCAGCTATCCACTGATGCTGGTCATTAACAGATGCCATTGGCTGGAGTGCCATTGCAGGAGTGATATCATGAGCCTGTTGAAGGCAGTGGCATAAGTCCTACTGACTTCAGTGAGGCCAGTGTTTTCATCTAAACACTGTGTGGGGGGTTTCTTAGTAAATCCTAGAGCCAAGTAAAGGTGATGGAGTAAAGGAAGAATTCCTTAGTTCCAAAGGGCTTATTTTTGTTTTCACATGACCTGTAAGCATACATTTGCTGCTCTGCTACAGGGCTTTTTAACTGTGTAATAGATTGCATACCTATGACATTCAGCTGTTCTTGCCATATCTTCTGGCAGGGCTGTATGCGTTCAGTCTGTCTATGTGTGGCTCCAGTGACTTTTGGGGCTTAATGTCAGGTCCTTGTTGTTATTCAGACTGTATGATTTGTCACCTGAGTACCGTGGGGTTATTTTGATTTTATTTTCTGATTGATGTCTTGATCTTCTTGAACAAAGACAAGCCCCCATATCAGTATGCTCATAGCAGTATCTATACAAAGAATAGCAATTCCCCAGGACTGGTGCACTGAAAAACACCATTTGGACAAACATTCAGTGAGAAATTAAAAAAAAGGAGAATGTGGACATAGATCAGTAGGGAAAAAAATAAAAATGTAATAACGTACCCACAAATGCTTCTTTTTTCCTTTCTTTGCCCATCTCTAAAACATGGCTTTGCTACTTAATGATGAAGGGCATAAGTTAAAGGATTTAATGGACTATATAGGTATAGCAATCACAATGTAAGGAGGAAAAAATAAGTATGTGCCCTGAATACTCTTTTAAGACACAGGAATAAGCATGTATTTAGCAGTAATTTCATGACAGAAAACACTGAAAGTAATTATTTGGTTTGAATTCTGATAAGACTATAATCCACGAAAGTGGTCAGTCAAAATCATACAAGTCAACTGAACTTTTGTAAGGTTTACGCCTTTGCAGAACCATAATTCTATTTCAGAGTTTTGCTTAAGCACTGGAATATTTCTCCGTCCCCCTCTCTCTCTTTCTCTGTTGTTTTAGTGTCATTAATGCTTGGCCTAAATTTAAAGTGGATATTTCCGGCTGGTTTTTACAGGTTTTTTTTCCATATTCTGTCTCTTTTTCCCACTGCTCTTAAATGGTGCCCTCCTCCAGACCCATGGGAGCTTTGTTGCAATTTCAACGTGCTCTGCATCATGGAAACAGTCTAAAAATGGCCGTCTGTGAACGTGGTATTGTTGGTAGTGAACAATACCTCTCTCTTAAGAAGGTTCCTATCAAATTCAGCAGAATGTGTCTCAGACCCATAAGTAGGGGTCCTCAAAATAGGCATGAGTGGGAAACAGAGTCCATCAAGAGCCTGTACAAGGCAAACTTCAGCTCCCAGGAGATCATGTCTGAATTTAGGGTTTGGCCTCCACATTCCCTTGGGCACAAGCTGCCTATTTTTCAAGGCTCATGCAGTGCCTGATACCATAAGGGCCCATTCTCATTTAGTTGTGGGCTCTGTTGGAAAGGGTGTGAGTGAAGATGAAGATGTGAGAGCCTGACGTGACCCTGCTGAAATGGGAGCTCACCTGAGCAGGAAAGTGCAAGGTTCTCCCTTTGAGAAGAAATAGAGATCAAGAGGAACAGACTGCTTTGCCTAGATGGAGCATATTAGGGACGAGTGACTTATGGAAGCGCTTTTCCCAGTGGTATTGTCCCTTGGCTCTGTAGCCTGGCCTCAATTTTAGTCCAATTGCTTAATTTTCTACACTCCCCATGAAAGCCAATTCCCTGGCTGCTGTGTGTCTTCTTTATATTTCTCCATAATGTAGATTCTGGCTGTTTAACTGCAGTAGGCTTTATGATAAGGCTTTTTTTCCCCTCTCTCTTGGCAGAATGCTGAGACTTAATTTTAAAAGACGCTGAAACCCCCAAACATCTCCGAATGACTTACAGGGGAAGCAGAGTGTTTTCTAGCTCTGTTTTAAAAAATATTACAATCTTTTTTATTAGGCAATTTTATCATTGTTATAAATAAGTAATTGTACTGGGGAGAAGGGATAATCCTTATTTAATTAAATTCATCTATACTCCCAGGTTGGCAGCAACCAGACATATGTGAGACTAATACCCACAGCCTGCCTGTATGCATGTGCAATTAAAAATTCACTCTACAGTAGCACTGGCAGTTTAGTGTTGCTTTTGGCATTTACAAATTCTTTTATTTTGTGACTTTTTTTTTTACCATACACATATGCTGGAGCAGATGTTGCTTATTTGTTGTTTATTCAAATCTGTAGGCTCTGGCAGCTAACTCCATTGTTCTGTAATGAAGCTTTATTCACTGTCCTGTATTAGGACCCAGCAAATGCATGACAGGCAGAGTTAGCTCTCAGCAGGAACTACAGTTATTGTCCTTACTTATTGGCTGTTTATATTCTAAAGCTCACAGTTGAGAAAGCTGGCTGGGCAGGGTAAGGGGCTGGGGATGATGTGTGCAGAGGAAAATTACTTGACTCCACTCACTGTATCTTTGCCCTGATGAGGTGCAGGCTTGCATGTAAACTCATCTGTTGCAGGATTTCATATTCAGCTCTTGAAAAATAGAGCTGTTCTCTCCCTCCACCCCCTCTTCTGCCTTGTTCTCCCCCACCCCACCCCACCCCACCCCTGCTGCTCCTTGCTTTTTCAATTAGCCTTTGTAAAGAGCTGGGTTTAACTAAAAGATGTTTCCGTGTGGCTCACCCCTGTTAACTCAGCACGTGCCAGAAAATTCATTAGCAGCAACGCCTATTAGGGAGGCATCAGAAGTCGGTGCTATTTCAGTGTGCATTCGAGTCACCCGCTCCCCCTTGCTCCTTATTTACTTCCTTCTCCATCTGTGGGACAGCCACGTGCCCAAAAGGCAGGAATTCCTGCACGTCGCTGACCCAAGCGGACACACTGAGTGCCAACAGAAAGGCATTAGCCTGCTGGAAAAGCCCTTGGTGTAGCCCAAGAGGCAATCAATCAGGGAAGTAACCACCTCCATCTGGCTCACTGTGACATGGTAGCTCGCTACCGAAGCACTTGTGATTCATCTTGTCCCAACGAGTGATGCCAGGGATTGCATCCACCCAGTTTTTGCAGCAGCTGGGAACGTCCTAGCTTGCCCGCATGCTGAGCTAACACATTAGCTCCTGTGACTTCTCAAGTAGCAATTCCTTCAATTATCACACCTTCACTCCTCCTACTCGCCAACTCCTCTGATGGTTTGGCACCATGGGAATATTTGCAGGATGCAATTGGTATCTCTTTTAATTGACTGAGTGCCAAGAATGGGAGTCTTGTTTGTTATCTATTATCCATTGTAACTTCCGCCTGCAACTGAAAGAACAGTGCCTTTAGAAGTGCAGGAAGAAAAGGCGCATCTATTTCCTGTGCTTCAACGAGCCCAGGGGTTTCCATGTACCTCTCTCCAGTTTCAGAATGAAGAAGTGAACAGCTATTTCGTATTTTGTAGTTGCTGTAGTGCCTACACAACACTTTATGTATGACACAGTGACTTTTAGTTTTAAGTACAGATTAACAGAAAGTGAAAGGCAAAGAGATGGCCAAAAGCAAGACTTGTTAAAGCTGCAGTCAGAATCTTAACAACAAAAATCCTACAACTGGTCTTGTGTTGAGTCTGCCTGACATTTATGTGAACTTCAGCATTGGTTAATGATAACGTACATTCTCCAAATATGAGTCTTCCCTTCATAAAACATGATGAATTATAGATCTATAAAAGATAGACCCCTCTTGGCAACAGTTTAATTTTCTGCAGGTAGAAGGAGCAAAGGAGACTTCCACTTTCTTTGGCTGCTTTGGGTTGCCTCCATTTGTTTTATGATGTTGCAACCCACACTTTTCCCATCTTCTGCACATGGACCATGGAAAGGCCTTCTTATTCTTCCTTATTTCTTACATAAGGCATCTGTAAGTGAGAGGAAGCTGTGCCATCTTAA